TAAAGAGGTTGTGGGTGGGTCCTAGTTGGTGAGATGTGGAATTTCTTCGGAACCATCCACAGCTCACGAAAGTTCGTTCGGATCAAATCTGAAGTGTGCACTACGCTTTCTATGGTGAAGAAATTACAGAGAGAATATTTTCCTTCCAAAAAGGAGATGAAAAAAAATCGTTTTTTTTGTGAGACACGGGAATACACATAGTTAGGGGAAGAAGTTCTTCTAGACGAAAAGGAAGCAGTTTTCCTAGACGATGCCTTCAGAAAGCGGTAAAGGAGCTGAAGCTAGCTGACTTGTCTGCGATGATAAAAAGAAAATACCGTCAGAAACACAGAAAAGGCTTCTTCTAAACAGAAGATAAGTTTGCGAGACAACCTTTCCAACAAGGGAGGCCTTTTTAGCGCTTCTTCGAAATGGTCATGCTGTAGGGACTCTCACGAGGGCCTGCATACTGTAGTTCATTTCTGCTGAGCGACTCCTGAAGGCCAAAGAGGGGTCGGAAAAATTGCTTGGAGTGGATGGTTTTCGCAAATTTTGGCAAAAATCCGGTTGCAAGGGTTCGCTATGGTCTTAATAATGAATATGACAGCTACAGTTCGCGCTGACGCTTGTGGGGACCTTAAATGCAATTTTTTTTCGGCACCACAGGAACCGAACCTTAGACCACTTGTTCCACTCCTTGGCCTTTGCCCGGAACCTCGGTTTCTATAGCCCACTCATGAATTCTTCTAACATGCAGAAAATCTTTCTGAAAGCGCTCCATACCCTGAAAAACCTCGTTGTAAAAAATGCTGAAGGATCACCTCTACGGATTCTGCTGACCTTGTTTCAGTCAGGTTTTATGCGCTAAAGAAAGCCTTGAAAGGCTTTCCGTGCTGTGGCCACACCATGTGCCACTATCTACACTCCAGGAAGCATTGAAACCTACCCCTCCCGCCCACCAAGATACCCTTTCTTGGGCAGTGAGACAAGAAATTCATCAGTTACGTCCAGTTTACACTAATTTGGTGATACTTTCGCTAGAATTATCCAAAAAACCGTTGAAAAGAGTCATTCTTTACGACCCCCGCACTTTTCCCAGATGTAGTCAACCTCGATCAACCTCAAATGCGACTCCCCCTACAA